GGGCTCCGGGGTGGGGCTGGGGAGTTTGGGGGTGGGGAGTTCAGGGTGCGGGAGGGGGTGAGGGCTCTGGCTGGGGGTGAGGCCAGGGATGAGTTCAGGGCGCAGGAGTGGACTCCGGGGTGGGGCAGGGGGTTAGGATGCAGATGGGTCAGGCCGAGGTGAGGGGGTACCAGCTGTTCCCCAAGGAGTTACCCTTTCCCCAGCCCCAGTGACCCCCCAGGTCATCAGCAGGGCCCCACTCCCAGCCCCCACTGCCCACCAGCGGGTGTCAACCAGCCCCCCCCCCGCCCATACCAGGCTCTCCAGCTGGGCGACGATCCTGCGCAGGTCAGCAGGTGGCAGAGGGCTCGGGGGTGCTGGGCCGGGGGCCTGCAGGGAGAGGCGCCCTGGGAACGTCCTGGCTTCAAACACGCAGGAGGCAGGGGAGAGACGGGACAAGGGATCTCAGAGCCAGCAGGGCCAGGGGCTGCCCACGGGGGACCCCCAGCCAGACTCCCTCCCTGCCCTGAACGGAGCCCAGGTACAAGAGGACCCCTCCCTTTCCCCACTCACTATATGCTCCCCCCTTCAGCCCAGCCCACCCCCCCAACCCCCAGAGAATCTGCCCCCCACTGACCCAGCCCAGCCCATGGGGGCTAGGGTCAGGCAACTGCTCCCTTGTACCAGAGCCCCCCTCTGCCGGCAGGGGCCCCATGGGGGTCAGCGCAGGACATGGGGGACTCACAGGCAGAACAGAGACTGGGGCCCCAGTAGGAGCATCCTGGCTATGGGGTGAGAAGGACACAGGGAGCCAGCGCCAGCCCTGGGCCCCTCCCCCACACTGGGCATCGCCAGGGCCAGGCAGGTCTGGAGGCAAAGTAAAGGGAGACAGAGCCCCTAGGGGCGCCCACTCGCTGTGACGGGGCAGGTACCCCCAGGCAGCAATGGCAGGGGCATGGGACCCCCACCCCCAGGGGAGCAGCCCCCTTACCTGGCACGCAGCCCGCGGTCCGGCTGAGATGGAAGCCCAGGGCGCAGCGGCAGGAGAAGTGCCCAGCCCAGGACACGCAGGTGCTCCAAGGGGGACAGGGCTGCCCACTGCCACAGCTGGGCTCATCTGGGGGAACAGCCCCCCCCAGAGTGAACAAACGTGAGCGGAGACTCAGACCTGGGAGGAGCCCGGACAGCAGGTACCCAGGGCAGGAGGAGCGACCCAGCACTGGCATAGCAGGGGCTGCGGGTCGGGAGTGAGGGGCACCGGCAGAGCTGGTGGGTGCAGAGCTCAGGGCTGGGCTAGCAGGGGGGCTGCGGCTCAGGGTTGAGGGGCACCAGCAGGGCAGGGCTGGGCTGGCGGGGGCTGGGCTGGGGGGCACCAGCTGGAAGAGTGATCGAGGGGCCAGGGCCGAACTGAGCCCTGCAGTGGAGTTAGGCCATACCTGGTGCTGTAGCCCCCTCGGTGGGGGTGCCAGTCCCTGCGGGCGTCTCAGCGCTTGTAGCCCAGGTCTGAGGTGTGGGGCTGGATGCTGCTGGCCAGGGGGGTACGCTAGACCCTGGAATACAAGGGGGGTGGGCAGCCGGAGGGTCACCCCCATTGGAGCGATTGATGAGGGGCGGGGGGGGGGGCTCAGCTGGCCGGGTGCAGGAGTCCCTGGGCACATCCCTGGCAGTGCCGGACCCTGGGCCTCACCTTCCCAGCCTGCAGCTGGGCTTTTCCCACCTTGGGGCTGAGGGAGGAGCCCCCGGCTCAGCCTGGCGAGCAGCAGCTCTTGAGTTCTGCCATCAGGGCAGTGCCCACCTCCACCTGGCACCACCCCAGCGAGGTCACCACCCAGCAGAGCTGGAGCCAGTCAGGGGGGAGCCCCCCCTTTGCTACAGACAGCACCTCTGCTGGGACCTCCCCAGGCTGAGCTGGAGCCACCTCCCAGGCCAGGCCAGGGGGAAAGGGGACATCTGCATTTCCCCCTTTGTTTGCTCCTAGCTGGGGCAGGGGGGAGCCCAGAGCATTGGCTAGGAGCGTGGGCCAGGGGCAGCCGTGAACTCACCTGCCCCCCCGGCCTGCCCGGCACAGGGAGACTGGACCTGCAGCAGGAGCCCAAGAAGGAGAAGGGACCAGCCCCTCCCCATCCTGCCAGGCCTGAACCCCAGCTGCTCTCAGCCTCCTGGGGGCAGGGAAGGGAGCCAGGCCCCACCTGTGCTGGGTTAAGAGCCATCCAGGGGCTTGTTAATGATTCCTGGGTGGGGGCAGCTGTCAAGGGTCCAGGCAGCCACTGAGCGAGCCACAGTGCTGGGCTGGCTCTGACGTGCCCAGCTGGCGCTCATTAACCCAGCCCCAGCCTGCCCCCCCCCCAGCAGTTCTAGCCAAGGGAGGACAAAGTCCAAAGCACAACAGGGAGGTGGGAGCTGGACCCACACCAGGGGCTGCCCGGAGCTGAGCAGTAACAGAACAGCCAGCCCCGTTCAGGCCAGGCTGCTGACAGAGGCTCCCCCAGCGCTGAGATCTGTCCCCCTGGGGTGGGTCGGGGGCTGGTTACAGAGGCCTTGCCCCCCCCAGCACTGAGATCTGTCCCCCTGGGGTGGGTCGGGGGCTG